CTTTCTCTCTTTCTCTCTCTTTTTCTCTCTTTCCTGTGACTCTTTCCCGTACCGAATCTGACGCGTTCAGACTCGACCTAAGGCGGAAGGCTGTCGGTAAGTCCGTCCGCAATTACTTCTCATACGTGCTACCAAATATTTTTTTTCCGATTGCGTGCGGTTGCTTCGTGATTACCCTAGCAACAAAATTAACCGTTCTTATCTTCCACACAAATGGATAGATGTTGTCTCACAGAACGATCTTTTCACATTATTTCATGCTCAGGTGAAATATCTGCAGGGTCCGATTTCTTCCAGATTTAATTATATTTTATTGCATCCAAACAAATTTCACCATCGGCACACTCCGAAGAAACTAATGTTCCGATTAGTAAGTACGATTATTAGACTTTTCAACGAACATGTATCCTTATCTTAAATAAAAATCGGTTTGAAACGAAAGTTAATTTTCTTATAAAAAATGTATTCGTTTCATTTTACATGTTTATTGTAACCAAATAATATTTTATCAGTTTGAAAAATATTATTTTAAGTAATATAGCGTTCATTCTGTTAAACAATAGAGTTTTCTTGAATGAGACGATAATATTTTTACTCAAACAAATAATATTTCGTAGAAGTACACGTTGTTTCTACGAAACAAATTTTCTTTAAATAAATAGAAATACTAAATCTGAAGAAACCTTTCTTTTTTGCGTGTACCATACAGAGAGATGCGTGCGAGAGTAATCCGCAAGGAAGATTTTTTGCCTGAGGCGAAAATATATTGAAGAGGCTATTCTCTCAAAGTGGCTCGATTATTTCCTCGGCGTTTGGAAAACTTAGTTACGAAAATACTCTAAGTTTAGGAATTTTTAAACACAATCCGTTCACATCTTATTGCAACACTGTCTCAGCACCAGTTGATATTACACGATAGCTTTGCATTACTTTACAGCGGCCGACATTGAACGTGTTTGTGATGAATGTGTGTCTGGTGGAAGAAAATTAATCGCCAAATCCTTCGATACGGAGCTGTCTTTTTGAACATCCGTCGAATGACGTATATTCCCATACAGCACGCTTTATTTCGAGGATAATCCAAATTATCCCCAATTTCCATATGTGATTACACAGATATCTTAATATCCGAGATATATTCGGGTACATAATAATATTATACATATTTTTATATAATATAATAATATTATATATATATTTTATTCGATATTTCTTGAGCTTCTTCGGATATTCTTTGGACGTCGTTAAGACATCCGTAAGATTTCACGGACGAACACTTATGCATTTGCTCAATATCCAACGGATATCCGACATCGAGGATATCCTAGGATATCCTATGGTTATCGCGATATTCCAAATTGATGTCTGTAGGACGTCAGATGAAGTGTGCTACGTTGATTACTTGCAAAAATTTAATGTTCGTCTGATGAAATTTCCTGGAATTGTGAAATTATTCCGAGTCCGCATCGCCAGCCAACATGACTCCTGCGTGCGAACTCAAATTACTATCGCCGGTTGCGCGAAGTAGCAGCCGTGGGACCAATAATCGCGATACCGACGATGCGACACATTTAAAAGCAACGTGATGAAATCATTACGGTCGAATTACTTTACCGATATCGCTGCGACGCGCTTTAAATACGGGTGAGAGCGTGAGTAACACGCGCGTAATTGTGAGACACGTCGTTTTACGACACCGGTATAACTAACACGTTCGTTCCCGCCTACCAGTGTTCCCAGTTGCGAAACTTGGCGAACACGTGCGAAGCTACGTGTTACAAATGTCCGAGAGAATTTATATTCGCTGCATGTAAACTGTTTTCGTTAAACATGAGAAATACTCCCCTGAGATAAACGTATGATACACATCGTGATTTCCACGTTGTATACTTTGTTAACCATCGTACTATATCATGAAATTAGCGCTGACTGATCGACGATTAACCCTTTCGCTGAGTCTGATGTGTATACAGGGTGTCCCGTGTAACACGTTCAAAACCATCCACACAGCACGGCAATATCACAGCAATATCATATTTCCATTACAATGTAATGTAGCAAAAATATTGCTGTAACATTACTGAGATATCACGGTAATATTAAAATTTCCGCCAAAACGAATCACAGTGATATTACAGTGACACTTCACAATTATATTCCTTTACAAAAGGTAAGTAAATACTACTAGCTGTGATAAATCGACCAGTGATAAATTATTATTTCTCAGTAATTTTATTACTTTTACAAGAGAAGAATAAAGTCATTTTATACGTCCGTGTCGTGGTTTCCATTCTGACCGGAGGTGGATTATCCATTCAACTATTAACCTTGCTCGCCGTTGCTGAACTGCGACCGACTGGACGGACCACTGACTCTACCGGCTGTGACGATATCCTTGTGACTTATACTTATATAATGTATCCTTATTGTGTTTACAAACATGTAATAACATATTTACTGAAAGATATTAAAAATAATGCATAAGCAGTTGACATGCGACGGATGTGAATATAATGTATTGTATACTATCAAACTGTTTTCATTCCGTTTAAGATGAAACTTTGCATTAAACTAAAGAAAGAGGCGGAGAGGAGATTGACTTGACAAATATAATATCAAATTACCATGAAAACCAACAAACCATATTGAGTAATTAATATATTTTTTTAGAATTTACGCTTAAAAACGTATAGAAAGTTTTTTTATCAAATAACATTTAAATATGTATTATATTACTTCGTTTCAATGTCTCTATTTGAATTTTGGAAGATAATTTGCTCGATATAACATCTCTAACGTCAATAAGACATAATTAAAATGTCACTTGAAGTCACTTGGCTATTTGGGATGTGACATATTGTAGCAACGTTACTATTTAAATGTTATTCATAAACATGTAATATATCAATAGTATTTCTGCAATATTTTACTGTAATGCATAATATTTTATACGCAATATTGCAATATTACTACGATATCGCTTCTAAGTTACGTGCTATATGGGCGTATAAAATTGATACTACAGGTTGAGTAGGAAAACATGGTCAGAATCATTTTTCAAATTACTATGTAAAATTTCGAGTTGTTAAAATAAATAGGCGAAGCGGCGCGCGCGATGCGGTAAGCCGAACATATAGAAAGAAAAATGTTTCGACGTGCGGACGGCCGTGACACCTGCGAATAATCGCGTTCCTCCGCCCAAAGTTACGAGACACAACAACGCAGAGTATAAGTAATAAAGAGTTACAAAGAGACAATAATTTATTACTGGTCAATTTATCACAGCTAATAGTGCTTTTTTATAGGGGAACCTAATCATGATGTGTCACTGTAATATCACTATGATTCGTTTTGGCGGACGTTTTAATGTCACCGTGATGTCTCAGCAATATTGTAGCCATATTTCCGCCATATTACATCGCAATGTTGCAATGTGATATCACCGTGCTGTGTATTGGCGAATTTCGATGAAAGTTGGGAGAAAAATGAAGAATTTCGTTTAGAAACGCTTTACTGCCGGCAAATGACAGGCTGTTTTACTGATGATGTGATAATGTTTGATCGTTGATCGATGATATATCTTTTCCGACACGTTCACATTATCGATGACTCGGTGATGATTGGGCCGGCGGGGCGCGAAGTCGCGCGCGGGCGCCGCCGCCGCCACCACCGCCGTCTCGATCATCCTTCATCGCCGGCGATCTTCGAGCACCGCGACGGCAGTTCGTGCGCGAGCCGTTTATCGGGAAAGCGGCGTGCGAAGGAAGGAGAACGGAACAGCCGCGCGACGTTTCTTTTTTGTTTCCTTCCTTTTTTACTTCCGAAGTAAAATCCTGCCGAGTCCTTCCGATATGTAAGTAGTCAAGTGCGTTTCCGGTACGCACAGCACCGAATGTGTGTGTGTGGTCGATCACGGGGAGAAAGGCAAGCGAGTGCGGGAGGTTCACCGCGAGAAACAAACCGCCGTCGAAGTGAATTTTATTTCATTTTATTTCCGACTTATCGCACGATTTTTTTTCTTTCTTCTCGTGAATCGTACAATTTGCGAAATCAACATTTGAGGTCGACCGTGGATAATTGTGTCATAATTATGTTTGGGTATGCGTGTTAATTTCTTATTACTCTTAACGCTCTCTGTGTGCGTGACACAATTAATATTTATTAATTCTTATTCGCAGAAACTTTCGAATAAGAATTTTTCTCAACGCTTTATTCTCTAATTTTCAATTTGTCTGATTTGTATCATTGGATACATTTCACTCAAGTTCATATGAATTGGCATAACTATTACTGAATGTCTTTGATTGGATAGATTGTAATATCTCTTCCTCGTCCTGTTGCCCGTGTCCGGGCGTGGTGACCTTTCTCAGATTGTAAATATGATATGATGATAAAATGGAGTTAAAAAAAAACTTCAATATCCACGTCGACAAAGTGTCGCTATATCTTTTGACACAAGTATCTGTTTATTATTCACGTTTTTATACGATTTAATAAACAACGATTTGGTCTTTTTCAGAAATAGCTCAAACTCCTATAATAATGCTTAATATATACTTTCTTCTCTTTCTCTCTCTCTCTCGCTCTCTCGCTTTCTCGCTATCTATTTATCCATCTATTTTCCTTTAGCCTTCATTTCTCTCATACACCTTTCTTTTCCGTTCTAGAAGAGGTCGTGGTTCCAACGCGCGCGTCGCCGGTAACTATTTTCGGCGGTTTCTCGTAGGGAAGCGCGGATTTGTCGTTAGTTCTAAAATTACGCGGCTACTAATGCCAAGAGGAGGCGGGTGCTGCTGCTCTCTTCCTCCTCTTCCTCTTCTTCTTCCTCTTCTTCGTTTTCTCCCCCCCCCCTCTCTCTCTCTCTCTCTCTCTGGCGGACGAATCTCTCGTCGAATCGGCGCGACCGCGCCGTGAAATTGACATTGACGGTACATCGACGAGGTTCATCCGAACAGCGCGATTTTAATGCGATAGATGCATGTTGATATTTCGTGTTTCAGGGTGGCACGGAACTGAGGGAACCTCAGAAAATCGAGAAGCTCGGCGAAACTTATCTGCCGTACTCGGTCTTCCTGGAATACATAAACGGCCTGGGAACTTCCACGTTCGCGTAAGTATAATAATGGTTGACGTGCGGGAGGTGTCGCTCCGACATGTTACCAATTTTGCGTCTTTATATCGGAAGTGGTTTAACCCTTTACGTCACGGTGCGACATACGTTGTCCCATCAACATTGTTTCCTTCATTTTTGGTGATTTCAACTAACTTCTAGGCAGTCATAATCGACTATATTATTACTATATATTCTCAAAAGCATAAGGAAGTAAAGATAAATACCGTATAGTTTAAAAATGATTAATTGTTAATTTGCTGGAAACAAATGAAAATGAAAAAAAACGAACTTTTTTTTCAGAAAAATTAATTTGTAAACAAGCTAAAAATTGATAAGCAAGTTAAAAATTGATCGTTGACCAACAAACATTATAACCACACAATTACGAGTGCAGTGTCACAATTTGTGAACGTACTGTGGTTTTTCAAAATTCATTCTTATCTGTTTGACTTATGTTGTGTTTAACTAACAAGGGAAAGATCAAAAGTGAAATATATGTTCGATCATTTTGAGAGATCATATAAATTTTTAATTGAAATTGAAATGATTCTCTCTGTTTTCAGACCAGGTACATACAATCTCTTCAAACACAACTGTAATTACTTCACAGAGGAGCTTAGCAACTTCCTAGTAGGCAAGGGTATTCCCAAATATATTCTTGATCTACCAGAAGAGATATTACAAACGTAGGTTACATCGACTAGCTTATTATTAACATATGTACATACTGCATTCGAGTCTCATGTTGTCGTATTCGCGACATTTTCCAAAATACGTGGTACATATTTTTATATTAATATTAGATGTCCCAAAATTTTAAGCCGGTAATCTTCAGGTACTTGTAAAAGATGTCAAAACCAAGTTTGTGTCAATTTGTGTTAAATTCGTGTCAATAAACCCATATCCGTAAAATCGATTTGGCACTGGAGTAAATTATTAGCGGATTTAATTTCTTTTCAGACCCGTTGGACAGGCTCTGGGTCCACTGATAGACACATTAAGTAATAGCGCGAGTGCCGGATTCACAGTCGGCCAGAGGTTTGTCGAAGCAAGAATCCAAAGAGAAGTTTCGCCAGAATATCAACTCCTAAATACAGCTATCGAGGAAGCGAGGTACTACTGGATTGCCCGAGAAGTTCATTTGAGTTTCTCGGGTCAAATGAGATACAATTTTTGAATATTCAGCGAAAACTTTATTCAACATCATTCTGTCGCATCATTATAACCGTTCTTTCAAGCAACCAGAGGATTTCATTCTCGAAAAATTTGTTGGCTGATTTGGAAATAAGTCATTCACATTTTTTACTTGCTTGCATACTTGATCGAATATTTTCCCGTTCCAACAAATTTTGTAAAGACTGGAACAAGTGATCAGAAGTCAAATGGCGTAATAACCAAGATCGCAGGTTAAGCATATTTTTATTTTCCACCTTCAACTCTCGATAAAAATGTGCGGACAAAAGCATAGAACTTTTCTGTTCAGTTTCACCTGTTTTACTTACAACACCATGAAAGCCAAGATTAGTTTGGGATACCCTATATAGATATCATATACTTTTAGTCACTTTGATAGCTTTTAGCTCACAGCAACGCTCATAGAGGCATCTGTTAAAACTCGTACGAACTTCACGGACAATCCAATATATTGTGTGCATATAAAAAAAATACATCCCATACATCTTTATCTGGCTGTAATAAACATTGGAATCTCATCAAAAAAATACATCCCATACATCTTTATCTGGCTGTAATAAACATTGGAATCTCATCAATTTGAATACATCCGCAGATTGAATTCAATTGCATTGGAGGAGCGCAGGAACGTCATTAACGAGAAGTTAGCTAAAAAGGACCGGAAGAAAAAAAAGAAGAAGAAGGAGAAGAGGGAGAAGGGCAGCAAAGAATCTACCACCAGTAGCGGTGGCAACGGCACCGAGCCGAGCAATTGTTGCTTAGATATGGCGGAGAACGAGGGTAAGACATGGGTATAGGCTACGTTCAGCGGAGAAAGCAGTTTTGCAACCTTTGTAAAATTCGTGAATCTGTTTGGTGTATACCCTTAGATTCAACCAATAGATTCAACTCATTGACCAATCAAATTCACGAGTTTGACAACAGTTGTAAAGCTGTTTTTTCTACTGCACGCAACCATTGACGACCGAGTAATATCTTTGTTCTGCTTCTACAAAATAATTCTACGATTTTTACTCGGCGTTATTTGCATTTTGCTTTTGCAGTTTTTATCTTAACGTTTTTATGTTATAATAAGAAAATCTCCATAGTGTGGTGTGGTTTATATGTACTCCTGGTCCTTCATCGTGGTCCATTTTAGATTGTGACGTCAGAACGAAATATGTGTTTGAAATTCTTGCAAAGTTGAAAGAAAAAAATATATTTGTAAAGTAACATTTAAAATCGATTGAGTAAATTTGTGAGACATTCTGAAAATTTTTCTTTTTCGTTCCAATAATCAAGAAATAACTGTAAAATTAATGTCATATATAGTTTACTTTTTGATTACGTAACCCGAGCAAAACGGAAAGTCATATAAAAGTCAAGATGACGTTAAGATAATGTCAAAAGTAATCATTTATAAAAAATAAAAATAATGTCATTTGATACGTCAAATAGAACGATAACACAGATCGACATTAAACGTGCGACACAGATGAGATGTATCGTTTCCGTGGATTTTTGACCGCTGAATCCGAATTCGGGAGCGAAATTTTTCCATCACGTCAGGTTTTTCAAAAAGGATATCCTATGGTTATTGCGATATTCCAAAATAACGTCTGGAGAACGTCTCTCAGATAAAGTGTAGCCACGTGGGCTGTGTCATTTTACAGACACGTCTTTTTATTTCAACGTACTATGCGAGAACTCGAAGCATGCACTTTCTCGCTTTTTACTTCACAATTTAACGTTACAGCAGTGAGAAAATGAAAGTTTTTAAATATAGTTTATCATGTCTTGGTTTTTTCAAGTGTAAAGATTGAACAAATTGAACGAACGATCGCAAGATCGTCTTACAGAATAGGATCTTGAATTTATAAACTGAAGGAAAAAAAACTTTTGACTTTTACAAAAAGTGACTGTTATCTTCAAATCTTCAAATTGTTGTTAATCAGGTGCTATTGGTGATATGCAACAGCAGCCGTCTAACGGGCATTCCGTGCCTGCGGAAATGTTGCCGTCCGAGCGAGTGATGCAAATGGAGGAAGACGAAAAGCGGGAACAGGAGGAGAAGAAACGCTGCCGGGATCCACCGATAGTCTTTAAAGATACGGTGAACGTACAAGCGCAGTACGAAGGTTTGATGAGCGCCCTTGAGGGGAAATTGAACGACGAGGAACGAACGTGCATGGACGAATTGCGGCTGTATGTCCTGGAAAATGAGGGTTCCTGGGCGTTGGGTGATAACTTCTTGAATTTTGTCGGTGAGTCATTAAAGTGACACGAAAGGTTCTCGAGTTTACTTTTTTTTCTGAAATATCCGATACATTAAATCTTAAATTTGAAGCGGTGTGAAAAATATACAAATTGGGTTAATTTTATTAAAAACCGATTCCAAAATAAGTATCTGGTTCTTAATATTCTTTAGTCCTTGAAAGCAACTTAAATATGTACTTGATTAAACGGTTTTCAGGTCGTGTCCTTTACGATAAGTCATTGGATAACGACGGCCGGGTGAAATTATTGAACCTACTGTCCGTAGCCGCGTTGAAGGACGATGTAATTTTATTGCTACATCAAGACAGACGGGAACATATCATTATGAATTACGCTTTCGATATCGACCGTCATTCGCCGGAGGAGCAGCTCTCGCTCGCGCAATTTGTAAGAAAGGATTTATTTATTTCAAATACACTTTTCAAATTGAAACAGAAATTTTTCATAATTTTTAATAATTTTTAATTTTCCAAATCATTTTATTAAGGTTGATGTGTTATGCATTATTGTTGCATTGATCTCAAATAAAAGTGTCAAAGTAATATTTAAATACTTAAAAAATATTTTCCGCAATGTTTTCGAAATATTTTGATAACATTCAAAAAATGTATATATTACGAAATCATATTTTTTTAAACACATATATATATAATTATTAAAAAAACGTTAACACAGAAAATACACATAAAAATACACATAAAGTTAATATTCCTAAGCGTTAATTTAATGTTCCTTGTTTATTGAGACTCGGTGTGCCCGCGTTAAGATAAACTGAAATTTTTTAATTGACTCGGAATATAATTATAAGATTTATAATTATTATATTAATAGAATATAATTAAAATATGAAATATATATTAGATCGTTAATATATATTAAACCCGGACAGGTTTGCGAACCGATTATTTTAAATCACAACTTTCCAAATGCTTCTAAGAATACGTGAGCAATTTTAACTCCGATGGTTTTTCCGAATAGTTGGCGAACATGTTCGAGAATCTCAGCAGTTCCGAATGGCTGCTGTATATATCCGAGTGGCAACACCAGAATCAAAATGTCAGCAACATAAGGGTGACGACTAAAGTCGCGGTGCATTCGCTGCTCTCCGACTCGGAGGACCTGCAGATCCGCGGCGCTGCCATCATCCACAATCTTGCCTGCAAGGAGGTAAAAACTGTGGTCTGTATCCTGTCCCATCCGAGAATTAACATTCTCACTCGTCTCTTGCCGAGTTTCGCTTTCACTCTCGTAACACGCTCGCTGGGTCTCGCATTGAAGGAATCTTGTTATTCTGAAAATACTATATTCGTTAACTTTTAAATTTACTTCTTCTCGATGATAAATCTATAAGTGCGTAATATTATTTAATATTAAGTAATATTTCTGGAATATTAATGGATGGTTACATGTCCACTCCTAATAATATTAAAAGTATAATATTATTTAATGTTATTTTAATATTATATATTTTTTAAATATTCAACTCAATGTATATATATAATATGTATGATTTTTATTTCAAATTTATTGCAAGATCAATTGTCTTATTATATAAATAAAGTCGAAAAATTTTGTGTAAAAATACGTTTCGTACTAGAAAAATCATATGTATAAATATATATATAAGTAAATATATAATATACACGTATATTTTATTTATATATATTTTTCTATATTACTATTATTTGTATATTTTTTTAATATTCTAAGAATATTTTTATAATATGCTAAGAATATTATGTGAAGTGGACATATGACATCAATGGAATATTTCTATAATATTAAGAAACATTCTTAGAATATTATTTTAATATTGAATAATATTCATATAATATTCTAGGAATATTACGCGCTTACAGCTTAATTTTACCAACGTCGATTAAATCCTAACCTGAATTTAAACTCTCTTCAGACAAATACTTATGCCTGGTTCCACCATCACAGTTTAAATCTAATCGGCGATTAATTCAACGAAATTAACCAATCCTATTGATCATTAAGCTGAATTGATCAATGCGATTAGTCGATTCCGTTAAGTTAATCGTCGAGATATTTCATATTTTATATTAAAAGATGTCATGACAAATTTTAAAGTTTCTTAGAAAATTCTTAATCAAAAGAAGCTTTATTATAATGAAAACGTCTCAACAAGGATTATAAAAATATGCAATAAAAAAATAGGAGGTCACGTTTAAAAAGAAAAGTTCAAATACGAAATTTGCAGGTTTTAAAGACGAGCATCTGATGATGACCTTGACCACAGCGTAGATGTCAAATTTAGAGATCATTTCAAGCTCAACTTGAAATTTTTTTAATAGAAATCACCATTTTTGACTCCAGAAATAGATAGAGCAGAAAATTTTACGTTAAAACATAAGGTAATATGTAAGGTCACACTGACCCCTAATAGTCACACAAAGGTCAAATTGTTTTTTTATGTAACAAATTTCGGTTTTGTCTCCTTTGGTCTGTTCCTTTTAGCTGCACTGTTGAATTGATGCAGCCAAAAAGAATAAATCATTTGTTTCAATTGATCAATCCACTTTAAACTCGTATCAAACTGCCGGCTGTGTGAGGGTGCTTTCACATGCTGCGTAACTTGCGTAAGCGTAACTTGCGTCAGTCAATCACATCCGCAGCGGTAATTGGTAATTGGATAATTGAGACGATTTGATTGGTTGACGCAAGTTACGCTTACACAAGTTACGCAGCATGTGAAAGCACCCTGAGAAGGCCGACCCGACTGTCGATTATGAGGACCAACTCTTAATGGACCAATTATAATAGACTAGTTACATGAGACCTTCCAAGACTGGACAGTCGAAACCGACAGTCAGATTGGCTTTCATAGTCAATAGTTTGATACGGGCTTTATAGAAGACTGAAATAATGACTGCGTTCAGAAAACACAGTGATTAATGAATAGTCAATGATTATTGGTCTTTTTGTTAAATCTTTAAATTTAGAGTGATTACGTCAACGAATTACTTAGTCGTTATGCAATTTTATAATCTGCATAATTTTTATTATAAATTTTTACAAAGTCTCTCATGAAAACAATATCATCTAAAAAAGTATATAGATAAATATCGCCACTTATCTTTCATCCAGATAAATCAAGAGCAAAATCATCATCTCATCTAAGATGATTTTTTTAAATTTTCATCTCATCTTCATCCAGATGAATCATCTGAAATCATCTAAAGCAAACGCTAAATATCTAATATCACCTTTTGTAGAAATATTTTTACAATTCTTCTTATATAGATCGTAAATTTTCATTCGTGAAGGAAGTGCGTAAACTTTTTTTTTCTTTAAAGTAGTTTTGTTTCTCTTATAGAAAAATGTCGACCCTATTTCAACACCGTTCTTTTGGCCGTCAATAGATCACTACAATCACTTGATTCGATTTTTCATTTCTGGCTGGGCCAGCTCATAATATGGTAACCCGATTTCACGGGCAACAAACAATAAGAAATTACCAACATAAACGTCACTTAGCTTGTAATTAGTCAAAGAACGGCTTAGGGGATGCAAGACTCTCGCACTCGATGCTCATTTGCATGCGCACGCTGAAGCTCTCCCTAATTCCGAGGCAGCGTGCGCGCTGCACGCGTGACGGATACCTTTCGAGAAATCGGATACTGTTTTTTCAGAAAATGAACAAGAGCAAAAATCTACGGCGACTTTTACCGAAAGGCAGTATTTCTAAGGTACCTATCCAAATCCATGTAGAGTCAAACGTGCGTTGCGGTAAGTCATCAGTCATTATCGGTGTCTTGCGTCACGCGTATGCAACGTAATATTGTGAACGCGATGCGTGATGATCATGGCATAATATGTAATTCGATACGCGAATGTTCTCCGATATTTCACACACGTTATCCTTACAGAAAAGTATTACTGCCTATGATAAATTAGCCAGTGATAAATTGCTGTTGCTCAGTAATTTTATTATTCGCTTTATTTTTTATTTTTTTTATTTCATTATTCGTGCGAGTAATAAAATTATTACACAACAATAATTTATCACTGACCCATTTATCATAGGCGGTATAATTTTTTTGTAAAGGTAAAGAATATACTCTATAAGCGCATAATATTATTTAATATTAAGTAATATTTCTGTAATAGTTGGTTACATGTCCACTCCTAATAATATTAAAAAAATAATATTATTTAATGTTCGTGCGATATTATATATTTTTTAAAAATATTTAACTCTATGTATGTATATATATATATATATATATAATTATATAAAAAAAAAATATATATATATATATATATA